GGGGGGGGGGGGGGCGGGGCGGGTGCTGACACGGCCCCACGGGTGCTGGGCTGCCCTGCAGCGGCCTCTGCTCCCCAGGAGGCTCCACACCACGCCTGCCGGCAGCTGTGCCCATAGGGGCTGCTGTGCGGGAATGTCATGAAACACAGGATCAGTCACGGGACAGTGGAGGTCCTAGGAAGCGGGTGACTGGCCCCAGGCCACATGGTGTACAGCTGGGGCCGGGGCCTAGCCTCAGGACTCCCTGCTCTGGGCTCTCCCCTCAGCCTGCCGTTCCTTTGCGGAGCGGAGAATCCCCGGCTGCTCCTGCTGCCCCGGGCGCAACCGGTGTGGGCAGCTCTGCTCTGTGCCAGCTGCCTCAGGGGCAGCCCTGTCCAGCCCAAGCTGCCCGGAGGAGGAGGCCTTGTCCACACTGTGGTACCCACCCCCGTTCTGTGGGTACCTCAGCCCCAGCCAGGCCCGACCCTCAGACGCATCCCTCAGGGGCCGTAGGAGGGCCAGGGGCCAGAGAAGGATGTGTGGGGTGAGTGGGATGCGGCTGACCCCCGGGCTCTCCCCCCCACGCAGGTTCTGTGAGGTGGCCAAGGAGAATGGCATGGACGTCTTCCGGGTCTTCGACTCCCTCAACTACCTGCCCAATTTGCTGCTGGGCATGGAGGCCGTGGGCAGTGCCGGCGGGGTGGTGGAGGCCGCCATCTCGTACACGGGGGACGTGGCCGACCCCACGCGCACCAAGTACTCGCTGCAGTACTACATGGACTTGGCCGAAGAGCTGGTGCGAGCTGGCACCCACATCTTGTGTATCAAGGTGCCTGGGCCCAGCTCCCCTCCAGCGGTCCCCCCGTTCCCCCCACCTCCCCTGCCTCCCCCCGTTCCCCCCACCTCCCCCACCACACACAAACGTGCCCCCTCCTCACCATCTTTCCTCCTCCCCCAGGACATGGCGGGGCTGCTGAAGCCAGCGGCCTGCACCATGCTGGTCAGCTCCCTCCGGGACCGCTTCCCTGACCTCCCGCTGCACATCCACACCCACGACACGTCGGGGGCCGGCGTGGCCGCCATGCTGGCCTGTGCTCAGGCGGGGGCCGACGTGGTGGACGTGGCATCCGATTCCATGTCGGGGATGACTTCACAGCCCAGCATGGGGGCCCTGGTGGCCTGTACCCGAGGGACTCCCATGGACACAGGTAGGAGCAGCGGCGGCCCGGGGCCCTTCCCCTCTCGAAGCCACAGCCCCCACCAGGGCTGGACCCCAAATGCCCTTGCCCGGCCTTGCCCTCCGCCACCCCGGTCCGAGGCGGGAGCTGAGCTGGCCCTGGGGTCCTCGGAGGAGCAGCTGGGAGCTCAGCACTTTCCCACCTCTCCCCTGCCTCTGGCCTCCCCGCAGGGGTCCCCCTGGAGCGCGTGTTTGACTACAGTGAGTACTGGGAGGGGGCCCGGGGGCTGTACGCAGCCTTTGACTGCACGGCCACCATGAAGTCTGGCAACTCGGACGTGTATGAGAACGAGATCCCAGGGGGCCAGTACACCAACCTGCACTTCCAGGCACACAGCATGGGGCTCGGCTCCAAGTTCAAGGAAGTCAAGAAAGCCTACGTGGAGGCCAATCAGATGCTAGGCGACCTCATCAAGGTGAGCCAAGCCTTGTCCTCACCTATGCTTCCGGGCCTCCGTAAGGTGCCTGACACCCTAACCCAGAGGCCCACCTCCACAGGTGACACCCTCCTCCAAGATCGTGGGGGACCTGGCCCAGTTCCTGGTGCAGAACAGGCTGAGCCGGGAGGAGGCCGAGGCCCGGGCAGAAGAGCTGTCCTTCCCCCGCTCCGTGGTGGAGTTCCTGCAGGGCTGCATCGGCGTCCCCCACGGGGGGTTCCCCGAGCCCCTGCGCTCCAAGGTGAGGGAGGCCCAGCCCGGGGCGAGGTGGGCCCGGGTGCGAGAATTGGGCCCGACCCTCTGCCGTGCTGTGCTGTGCTCCCCAGGTGCTGAAGGACCTGCCAAGGATAGACGGGCGGCCCGGGGCCTCCCTCCCGCCCCTGGACCTGCAGGCGCTGGAGAAGGAGCTGACGGAGCGGCATGGGGAGGACGTGACCCCGGAGGACGTGCTCTCGGCGGCCATGTACCCCGAGGTCTTCACCAACTTCAAGGACTTCGCTGCCACCTTTGGCCCCGTGGAGAGCCTCAACACCCGCCTCTTCCTGCAGGGGCCCAGAATTGCAGACGAGTTTGAGGTCAGTGGCTCCGGCCCCTGTGTACACTCCCGCCAGGGAACCCTGCCCCACCCCCAGGACCCCAGCACTCCCCGAGTGCCAGGCCTGGCCGTCACCCGGCCTCCAGAGCCACAGGTGCACGGAGTGCCCTTGGGACACCAGGAGTCTGGGCCTTGGTTAGTAAGGAGCCGAGGCCCGGCGGGGGGACTCGGCCCAGTGGGGGGACTCGCCTGGGACCGCGTAAGGCAGCTGCTGTCCCGCGAGTGCCCCCTCCGCTCCGAGCGCCCGCGTCCTCCTGCAGGTGGAGCTGGAGCGGGGCAAGACGCTGCACATCAAAGCCCTGGCCGTGAGCGACCTGAACTGGGCGGGCCAGAGGCAGGTCTTCTTCGAGCTCAACGGGCAGCTGCGGTCCATCCTGGTCAAGGACACTCAGGCCATGAAGGTACAGCCCCCGTCCCAGCTGGGGGGTGGGGACAGGCGGGCCCGGTGTCTCACGCCCGTCCCCTCTGCCGCCTGCAGGAGATGCACTTCCACCCCAAGGCCCTGAAGGACGTGAAGGGCCAGATCGGGGCACCCATGCCCGGGAAGGTGATAGACATCAAGGTGGCCGCAGGGGACAAGGTGGCCAAAGGCCAGCCCCTGTGTGTGCTCAGCGCCATGAAGATGGAGACTGTGGTGACCTCGCCCATGGAAGGCACTGTCCGAAAGGTCCACGTAACCAGAGACATGACCCTGGAGGGTGACGACCTCATCCTGGAGATTGAGTGACGCACCTGGCTCGCAGCCCGGCCGTCCCCACCCCCGGCCTTCTCCGGCGCTGTGCTGCCAGGGCCGGCCCGGCCAGCCAGTGCCCCGAGGGCAGGAAGGCCTGGCCCCGGAGCCCCGTCCCCGGCTGCTCACGGCAGCAGACAGTGCGTGCGGTGGCCGCGCCCCCTCTCCAGCTGTCTGGCCTTCCCCTGCTGGTCGACAGGAGCTCACGTACTCATCTCTTGCCAAATGAGGGTCCTGTCGTTGCTGGAGACTACAGGGGGTGGCACAGGTGGGCCTCGGATCCAGAGCAGGTTTGGGGGGTCCTTCCTCTGGGGGTGGGGGGTGGGACAGTAAACCTAAGCCCCAGGTCCTGAGACCTTTTGTTCAATAAAACTGACTTTCTCCCGCACTTCACAGAGGGCCCTTTGCAACCCACCCCCGCGCCCCTGAGAGGGGCACAGCTGCCCCTCTGCCGCCTCAGGCCAGCTGGATCTTCCTCCTGGGAGGGGTGAGGAGAACAGTAGTGACCTTGACTTAAGCCACTAGGAGTACCTACTGTATACACACCCCAAATGGGATTAGCTAGCTAGTCATTACTAAGAGCTGGGAGGTGCGGTGGGCGGGGTGAGGGGGGCTGTTCTAAGCACTTAACACCTGTTAATGCAGGTAATCGACCTTCACCCATTTTAGGGACACAGATGGAGCCACAGGAAGGTTAAATACCTTGCCCAGGACCCCGCAGCGAGTAAGAGGCAGGAAGGGTCCAAACCTAGAGGTGGTCAGAGGACTTGCTTCCCAACCACACTGCTTTTCTTTCTAAACCCGGGGCCAACCCCCCGCCCATTCTTTCAGGACTGGATGCAAACAGGCACCAGTTCCGGGAGGCGGGCGAGACCCTCAGGAACCTCCGGGAGGGCGGGCTGTGGTGGGAGGTTAGCACTGGATAGAGTGTCCTAGGGTGTAACCTGCCCATCCCCCACAACCCGCTCCGAGGAGAACCCCATCCTGAGCCCCAGTGCCCGCCCCCACGGGACGAGATGGCCACCCCGCCTGCATCACTGCGCGGGGCGGTGAGGCGAGCGAGCGAGCGAGGGGGTGGCAGTCCCTGAGCACAGACGTGTGGCAGAGCCTAGACACCAGGACCCCTGGGGGCCATCCCAGCGCCCCGCCAGCCCAGGCACCCAGGGCACCACAACTTAACCTCTGGCCTGGGCCTGGGCCGCCGCCAAAGACCCTCCCCCGGAGGGCTCCAAGATTCCACAGACCCTCTGAACAGGCCCATGCCCACCCTCTCTGCCTCCCCAGCAGCTGCTGCACAGAACTTTCTGGCAAGGTAGGTGTGTGGCTGTCACGATGCCCTTTCAGATCCAGATGAACGCGGTTTAGTCACCGCCCACCTGGGGCACCACGGGGAGTGACGGCACACCCGTCTCCTCCCCGAGTCCTCGGGCAGGGGGACGCGGAACACCCACCGCGTGTCCGGAGTGGGGCCTGAAAACCCTTGCAAACAAGAGCTGAGCCGAGACCACCAGCGGGCTCTAGGAAAGGACCCGGAGGTACAGCGCCGCTCCCAGGGCCACAGCCTCTGTCCCGGGTCTCCGGGGACCAGATGAGCAGCATGCCGGCACGGGTCCGAGGCGGAGCAAGCCAGAAAAGCCTCTACCCCCCGGGGCTCGGAACTAGTCCTCCTAGCACCGAGGGCCTGCTCCCTCCTGTGGGCCGCGAGGCCGGTGGGCGCTGGGAGATCCCGGCGGGGGCCCCACGGTGAGCCCTGCCCCCCCCCCAGGGGACACAGGTGAGAGGCTCCGTCACAGGGGTCAGACTCCACTTCCTGACCCTGGCAGACCCTAGCAGAGTTGGGCCCACACGTGGCACCTGCAGCCCTAGGTCCACCTGGGCTAGGACGTGAGCCTGGCTCAGGAAGAAGGGAGCTACAGGACCCAGGGCAGCCAAAGACCCCCATCCTGACCCTCCCGGTCAGGGCACCATCCTACCGGGCCCACTGCCAAGACCGCAAACAGTCTAACTCCCAAAGGTCCAAGGCCAGGTTACCCAAGTTAAATCTCTTTAATATCCCAATACAAAGTCCTGATGCAAAAAAGACAGTGAGAAAACCCTGGGAAGTTGGGGGGAGGGATCTGTAAATTCTACCCCCAGCAGCTTTTCCGGCGCCGAGGAGCTCAGAGCAGCAGCGGTCCACAGTGCGGAAGGGAGCGTGCGGCTCCTGGGGCCTGCTCCTCGCCCCCTCGTTCGGGGGGCCGCACCTTTCCGCCCCTTTCTCTTGGTCCCTGGGATTCGACTAGCTCTGGCTTCAATCCCCTACAAAAATTCCTGAGATCTCGGGACCCCAGCCAGCTCCTCCCCGGCAGGACCCCCTGATGGGGAGGGGCTGAGGAGCCCGTGAGAGTTCATGGGAGTGTGCACGAGAGCATGGGTCAGGAGCACAGCGGAGCCTCTGAGTCCCCTGCCCGCTCCAAAAGCACGCACAGGGGAAGACTGCCGTAGAGCTTGGGGTCCGTGAGGGGCTGGAGCAGCAGCAGGAAGAGTCCCACGCCCAGGGCATAGCCTGCGAGCAGAGGCCGCCTCTGTGGGTGCTCCAGGGCTGCACAGACGGCAGGAAAGCCCATGTAGTTGCAGAAGGAGTGGCAGAGAACTGGCCCGATCAGGTGTCCTGGGGAGGGGAGACAGAGCAGCTCGGGGCGCAGCCCCACCACTTCCTCCGGCCCTGCTGGGGCTAAAGACCCTCATCCCCGGAACAGGAGATCGACACCCCACCTGCCCACACACCACGGCCTCTGCTTCCTTCCACTGCTCAGACCTCAGGCCCCGGCTCAGCCTGTCTACAGGACTGCAGTGAACATTTTCATTGCTCCTGGAACAGACAGTTCTCCCATTCTCCCACCCACTCCTGTGGGCCCCTGAGCCCTCAGGGCACCCGTGAGAGAGTGAGAACCAACCTGTGCGGATGAAGAGGAAAGCAGTGTAGGCACCGAAGACAGCTGTGTAGGAGAACTGGAACGCTGGAGATGGGGAGGCCACGAGTGACCACACCTGCATGCCCTTCCTGTCCCAGCACTAGACACTCGTCAGCCAGAGGCGCCCCTTCCCTCTGGGGGCAGTGGCTGCCTCCCCCAGCACCTATGGCTGTCCTCTACGCCCAGCTCCCCGTGGTCAGCGGCCCCTTCAGTGCTACAGCCCCCTTCCCAGCTCTTCCTCCGGAGTGGCTATCAGAGACGCCCCCACGCACCCCGGCCCAGACTGCCCCAGGCACGCGCTCCAGGACTCACCTGCAGACAGGAAGATGCTCCCCACACTGCTCTGGCGGAATCGAAGCTGCTCAAAAATGTGGTGAAAATGGGCTGAGGAGAGAGTGAGAAGCAGGCTGCATTGCTCCCAGCCCACCCTCGCCCCGAGCCCAGTGCTCGGCCCTCGTGTTAGGAACACCTCAGCAGGCCCAAGTGGACAGACTCACCAACTCCGAAGAAGAGCGGGCAGGTGAACACGGCAGGGCCCAGGCCCGTACACGGTGCCAACATGGGCAGCATGCAGGCCCGGAACACCAGCTCCTCCGTCAGGGGCGCGATCACTTGGTTCCGCAGCCAGCGCATGTCCGTGAGGCAGCGGGCCCAGGAGCGAGGGGCTAGGGAGGGGGTTCGAGACGGGCAGTGAGCAGCTAGCTGCTAGCTATTGAACAGAGGCCCCTCCCACCACCCTTTCCTGTCCAAACTCGGGTTAGGTTTTCATGCTCAGAGCAGGCAAGGGTCCAGTTTTGTTCATCGGCGTAAGATAATGCCTCAAAGGAACTGAATGGGAAGGCGTTAGTAGTTGAGGCAGGACACGTGTAAACATCAAATCTGCCCAAGACCAGCTCCGGCCTGGAGAAGCCAAGGGTTCGGGGAAGCAGGGGAAATGCTCTCTAGTCCACAACACTCCGGGGGGCCCTGGGGGGGCCCTCGGACATCAGGAGCCGACTCTTAGAGGAGACCCACTATCCGTTTCCATCTTACCGACCAATGAAACAAAACCCCTCACACCGCATGTCCCAGTCCCATCCTAACTCCCTGTCCTAGACTGTCTGCTCGCTTTTCCCCCTCAACCCTGAGGACTCACCTAAGACAACCTTCAACCCATCTGCCAGGTCACAGGGGCAGTCCATCGACAGCTGCATCAACGGGCCCAAAAAAAGGATCTGGAGACACAGAAACCGGAGCAATCAAATGAGAGGCCCAAACTAGAATCCACTGCCTTTGCATAGACAAAGCCTCGAGCTTCCCACTGTCAGCCAGGATTTCCCGCCCTGCACACCCGAGGGCTCGAGCCACCTCTCAGTTCCTGTCTCTCATTAGGCAGAAACTGGACTCAATCGGGATAAGAAAAAAAAGGTCACAGAAAGGAGTGCCGTGGCAGGAACAAAGCACAGAGGGGGGAAGGTAAAGGAGGACTCACCATGGTCAGCAGCAGGGGCAGCAGTGCTGCTGGGAAAAAGCCCTCCAGCCTGAAGCCCATCAGGGTGAGCAGGGATGTGCCTGGCTGAGCCACAGAAAAGGGGGCATCAGTCTTGTTCCCTCCGCAAAGACCCCTGATATCTCTCCCCTGTTGCCCTCTGCCCCGCCTCCTTCGCACCTGGATGCCTGTGAGTTCCCTCCAGAGTAGCACGCAGAGGGGCGACAGGCTGGACACCACCAGGACACTGGTGAAGCGCCGCTTGATGACGGCAGGGTGGTCCCTAGGGAGGGGGTGTTAAGTTTAGGGGGTCCACAGTCCCCTCCTGACAGCTCGGCCCCGCCCTCGGCTAGCCTGCGCTCCACCCGCAGCCCCGCCTCCCGGAGGCGCAGGTTCCGGCCGCGCGCGCAGCCCCCGCACCTGGGCAGCTCGCTCTTCCAGACATAGAGGCTGCCCACGTAGGAGCAGGCGAGGCTGAGACAGGAGAACACCGACACCCAGCAGCACAGCCCGGGGCCCGGACCTCCCAGAGCCGCCGTCTCGGGTTGCCGCTCGGGTCGCGACACCGACAGCAGACGCAACCCGTCCCCGCCCAGCGCCGCCATCGCGCCCGGACCCGCGGCGCGCACCAGTGACGCAATCCTGCCGCCTCTATGCCCTCGCCCGCGGGGGCGCTCTGGTGACGTCATCTGTCGGCGCCGCCGGGGAGGGGCCAGCGCTGCCCACAACACTGAAACAGACCCGGCGCGAAGGGAGCTGGTTTATTGAACAACAGACTACACGTGGCTTCAGCCTTCGCCCGGCTGGTTTGGACGCCTGGGGAGGGGGCTCGGCTCAGGTGCCGGGACTCAGCCATTCCGAAAGGTTGGAGACCTCCTGCAGCCACAGGGCGTCCTGCGAGAGGAAAGGGGGCCCGACATGAGGACGCCTCGGCGACGGCCCGGTCCCTGCCCTCCCCTGCGCAGCCCTCGCCCGGTCACCTCCAGGCCGCCCCCGGGGCCCGCCCTGCTTCCTCCGGGAGTCAGGGAGGCCGCGGGGGCCTGTGCGCTGCGCAGGGCAGCCTCCGACGGGCTCGGGCCCCTGGCAGAGTGGAAAGCCCGCGTTCCCTCCACGACCTGGCGGTGGCCGCCCTTCTTGAGCCTCTTGTTTTCTGCTTGTCCGCTGGCCCCTAGGAGGAAACAAGCGTACTCGTCCCGCGGCCCGGTGCTAGAAAAGACCCTGGGGGAGACATGGGAGAAAGGCAGGAGCTGGGGCACGGCTCTGTCGGCTGTCCCACCGCAGAACCCTCATCAGGTCTCGTCCAGATCAAAGGCCGACGGCTCTGGGCTGCAGGTTCAGGCCGGGGCCGCAGAGTGGCATCAGGGTCTCTCCATCCCACCTCAGCTAACCCCGGGAAGGGGCAACCGGAATCGTACCAAACCCTCACTTGCGGCGCGCACCCACTTGGTGCCGGTTCGTCTCTCCCGGCCAAGCTCGGGTCCCCCGCCGGAAAGCGGCTTCGCCTCTCTCCCATTGCTGCTCACGCCGCATGGGGCAGCGCCTACACGTGCCTTCCTATTAACTGACTCTCGAATCTAAAGCACTGTTTTGTCCACAGTGCAACCCCGCTAGTCTGGCTGTTTAGAGACAGTCTAGAGCCAGGCTGCCTGGGTTTGGATTCTGGCTCTGCCATTTACTAGCTTTGTGACCTCGAGTAAGTTTGACATCTGTGGGCCTCCGTTTCCTCGTCTGTAAAATGAGAAAATACTACCTATACCTCATACTGTTATTTTGAGAATTAAGGGCATTAATACATTTTTTAAAGTTCAGAATAGTGCCTGGCACCTGTACCACGCAGGTTCAGGCACCAGTGCCTGTGGTTATTTCCAGCCATGCGCTCTAGACCGCCTTGCCACTGCTGGACCGGATGCTGTTTAAGTATTGGGGGTGGGGTGAGGAAAGACAAGTATAATCGCCAGCACACGACACACGCTGACACCTCCTCATAACACATCAAGGTCGAGGTGGCGTCTGCGCCCCAGAACCACCTCCAGAAGCAGCCTCCAGAGCCCCAGATGAGCCACCAAAACTAGGGAGACCTGTGGTGTCAACACTAACAAGAAAAGACAGGAAGGAACAAATTGGATTCAGGGTCCCATTCCCAGCATGCACATCTACCCATAACTGCACAGACTAGGAGAGAGTTCTAGTCCTATCACACCAGCGTTTGGGAGTGTGGTTCTCCTGCTGCCCAGGAACACCCACAGGGGTGGGGAGAGCCAACTGCATCCCAGAAGGACCCTGCTGCGGTGAAAGGTGCAGTTGGAAAGCCTTGACGTCATGGTTTTTTTTTACTTCCCAGCTTCGATCCAGAGCTCACCTGAAGAGGTGAAACCTTACCTACGAGGAGCTCCAGGCTGCTGTCCTCATGCGCATCCTCTGTTCTGTCCTCTGTGTCATTTTTCTCTGGGAGCAGTTGCTTAAAAAATGAGATGTTAGTTAGTCCTAAGTTAGTTCTGCAGAAGCACGAATGAATCCCAGGGAGATGAATGTGCCTGGCGGTTCGGCTCACTTCGCGGGGCTGTCCATCCGCACCGCCCCTCCTTCTTCCCGGTTCTTTTGAATCTTCCTGCACAGCTGCCTGCCTTCCAGACTGGCTTCTGCTACAGTCTGCAGCTCACTCCAGCACGGCCTTCCTTCTCTGAGCCCTGCTCAACTCACTGACCGTCCACCCCACCCCTCAGGCTCTGGGCATGCGCACTGCACGCCTCTGTGGATGTCCATTTTGTTCTTGTCATAGAGTCCTTGGAAGGGAAGGTTCATCGTGCCTACATCTCTCTACATCTAGCGAGTTCCTCGCATGGGGTGAGTGCTCAGCACACAACTGAGCACAGGGCCCATTCTGTGGTCCTCACTAGCCTTTCAAAGTCCTGCCACACTCGGTTCCACTTGGCCAGAGAAACAAAGGTACTAAGACCAGAACCCAATCCTCCCAGCTCCCTGTGTTCAAGAATACAGGCGTATGAAAATAGATATCCTCTTCATCAATGTTAAAGGCTTTTGTGCTTCAAAGGACACTATAAAAAAAGTTCAAAGTCAACACAACAGGAAAAAGTACTTGCAAATCATATGTGATAAGGGACTTGTATCCAGAATAAAGAACTCTTATAACTCAACAATAAAATAACAAATAATCCAATTAAAACTGGGTTGACAAAATGGAGTTGAATAGACATTTCTCCAAAGATACAAATGCCTGATAGGCACATGACAGATGATCAACATTATTGGAGAAACGCAAACCAAAACCTCTACTAACTAGACACCACTTGCCACCCGCTGTGACGGCAATAATCATAGACAAAAACGAGTGTCGGTGAGGGCACGGGGAAACAAACATTTGCACAGTATTGGTGGGAAAGTAAAATGGTGCAAACAGTATGGAAGTTCCTCAACAAGTTAAATGCAGAGTTACCATGTGACCAACCCAGCGATTCTGCCCCTAGATACGTACCCGAGAGAATTACAGACCTGCCCCCACAAAAAGTTCACGGCAGCATTATTCGTAATGGTCAAAAAGTGCAACCACCACACACGCCCACCGCCTGATGAATGGAGAAAGCGAATGTGGTACTTATCCCTGGTTCCCTCTGTGTGGTTTCAGCTCCCCACGGTCCGAAAACGTGCATGAAAAATTCCAGAAGTAAACAATTCACAAGTTTGAAATTGCGCACCATTCTGAGTGGTGTGATTATGTCTCACGCCGTCCCACTCGGGACATGGATCCCCCCTTTGCCCGGCACCTCCATACTGTGTACGCGACCAGCTGCTCAGACTCAGCAGCGGCCTAGGTTATCAGGTTCACTGTCGCCGTATCACAGCGCTTGTGTTCCAGTAACCCTTATTTTTACCTAACAGGTCAATTTGTTTAAGCAGAAAGGTATGCAAGCGCGGGGACAAGTATGTATAGGGTTTGGTGCTAGTCCTGGTTTCAGGCACCCACTGGGGGTTTTGGAATGTTTCCCCTGTGGATAGGGGCCGCCTACTGTGTATACGGCATATAGTGAAGTATTAGCCAACCATGACAAGGAACGAAGTGCTGTTACCTGTTACGGATGAACCTTAAAGACACTAAGCTAAGTGAAAGAGGCCAGACACAAAGGCCACCCGCTGTGTGGTTCCACACACACAAGACGCCCAGCCTGGCGAGTCCATAGGGATGGAAGGCAGATTCGTGGTTGCCGGGAGTGGGAGGCAGAATGGGGGCTGACCGCAAATTAGGCACAGGGGTTCTTTTTGGCACGGTGGAGATGTTCTTGAATTTAGACTAAATGTACTTAAAACCACTGAATTGCACAACTTAAAATGGTAAATTCTGTGGTGCATGACATAACTGAATAAAAGTAGATGTTCTAACCATACATTGTTTGCTGAAGTAAGTTACAATTTCTAAGTAATTACATTCCAAGGAACATTGAAGGGGTAGAAAGATAGCCCTAAAAGAGTGAAAAAAGAAAAAGTTTCTGGAAAATCTCCAAACACCTTTTTTCTTCTTTGAGAGGAAGCTTGTCCTTTTCCTTTACTCCAGCCTGGGAAATCCCACGTAACAGACAACCCCCCAACTTGATATTGGGCTCAGGAGGAAACACCCACACTGAGAGAGGGAGCTCCGCGCCCCAGGGAGCCCGGCACACCCCTCACCGCCAGGCCCCCGAGGGGGACAGACCACGCACCCTGAGGGTGCACCTCCTTGGATGTCACGCTCCATAAGACATTCAGTTCTGGTCTCCCCTCCACGGCCACCCCGGGGATAACCATGTTTTTCCTTAGAAAGCTGCCTCCCTGCTATTGCTCCTGCTTCTGCTGGGCTTAGGTTTCCAGTCCGTACGTACATCGGCGACAAGAAAGCCTGGAGTACTATCTCGTCTGCTGCTTCATGGCCCACTGTCCACCATTCCAACGCCCAGCCCCCAGCCGCAGCGTTTCCCTGCACATATTCTGTAAAAGTCTAAAACAAGTCTCTCATTTCTTCCGTTCTCCGTAAGCTATTAGCAGCCACAGGTGATGTTATTCCATGTCACTCCCGAGATCAGCTGTTCCACTTCTCGGGTTTAGAGATGGCAACCGAGGGACTGGTTGGTCCAGAGGTAAAAGAATTTAACCAAGTCATCACTGATCTTGTAACTTCCAGCTGAAGCCACTGGGTGTCACCCTTGTGCCACTAACAAGTTACCACTAACGGCCATTGTCAGAGGGAAACCGGTCATGATCCCGAGTGGAGAAGCATGGGTTCCACTCCATGCCTCTGATGACTCCCCTTCCCTGGGCTTGTGACCCGGTCCTCCGCGGTAACTGTCTCCGGGCTTCAGAGCCAGGAGACCTCAGTACATATCCTAGCCTTGCCACTTACTGGCTGTGACTCTGGGCAAACCAGAGAAGTTCTCTATCCAGTTTCTCCATCCACGGAACTGAAAAACTACAACCTACCTCACAGGATCTCTGTGGAGATTGAAGTGGAAGTCTGGGCACAAATTAGTGAACCTTAGGTTTACTAGCCCACCGCCAAGTAGACTGGGCTATGAATGGCCCTGAGGCTGAGTCATCACTATAGCAACAGAATGGGGCAACATCGGTCAGATCCTTTCCTTTTGAGATCTCACCAGGATGGCGGAGAAGCCCAAGCAAAAGGGCATCACAGCCTGAAACACTTCTAGATCCTGCCCACAGACCCCAGGTCCTATGGTAACAGCACACACACTTGAGCCTGAACCTACCCCTAGAAATGTGAAGACGTGGATGGCTATGGTGAATTGAAGAGTCACTCACCAAGAAATATGTCCAAGTCAACTCCCAGAGCCTGTGGACATGACCTTGTTTAGAGAAGAGGTCTTTGCAGAAGGAATTAAGGACCTCAAGATAAGACCATCTTGAGTTCAGAGTGGGCCCTGAATCCTACGACAGGCGGCGTTGCTGCAGAGAACAGCGGAGGCGAATTTGAGAGACACAGGGAGCAGGGCACGTGAAGACGGAGGCCGAGAACTGGAGCAGCCGGAGCCCACAGAACCGAGACGGAGTCAAGAGGCGTTCTCCTCCCCCAGAGCCTTGGGAGGGAGCACGGCCCCGCTCACACCCTGATTTCAGACCCCTGGACTCCGGAACTGAGACAATAAATTCCTGTTGTTTTTAAGCCACCGAGTCGATGGCACTTTGTTACAGCATCCATGGGACACGGACACAATGGGCATTTGTTGTTGTCTGCTCAAGTCGTGGGCAGCGGCTTCCCGAGGTGGACCGGAACCAGTAGGAGCGCTCTCACAGCCCTGGAAGAAGGTGCAGCGAGGGAGCACCTCCAGGGCCTCCCCTGCTGTGTCCTGCCTTCCCAGTTACGGAGCAGCGGGCGGGAGGTGGACGAGATGCTGCGGCCCTGGCGAGCCGGGGCACTTCCGCCTCCCCTCCAGGCAGGCAAGCCGGAGTGGGAGAGGGAGAGGACAGAAGTGCCAATGGTCCTGCTGTTCTCTTCGAAACAGTGCCTGCCATTTTCATAACAAGTGTGAGATGTGACTTGCACATGCACAGTAAAGCACATGTACACAAGATGTATGTATAATTTGATGTTTTGATAAATGTACATACTTGTGAAGCTTCCACCACAATCAAGCTGGCGAACATGCCCATCTCCCACAGAAGTTTCCTCTGCCCTTAAAGACAGCCCCTCCAGCACCCACACCCCCCACCTTCCAGCAACCCCTGCCCTGTAACTATTGCTTAGTTGGCATTTTATACAATTTTATGTGAATGCAATCACAGTATGTACTCTTGCATTTCCGGGTTTTTAAAAAACTCAGTATGGCTGCGTAGAGATCGATCCACGCTATTTTGTGTTTCAAGGGCCCACGTCCTCACCGCTGAGCAGCAGTCCCCTGAATGGCTATACCACACCTGTCTACTCGTTTGCCTGCTGACTCTGGCTTGTTTCCAGGTTTGGGCTGTTACAAATATTGGCAGCGATGCCGTGAACATTAGTGTAAAAGTTTTGTGTGGACATATGCTTTCATTTCTCTTGGGCAAACACCTAGGAGAATGAATGGTTGGGTTGCATGATGAGTGTCCACTGAACTTTTTAAGAAACTGCCAAACAGCTCTCCAGAGGGGCTGCACCGTGTTCCCGCCCACAGAGAAGGCACTCGCGTTCCAGCTCCTCCACGTTCTCGCCAACGCCGGGTGCGGTCCATGCGTTGACTCCAAGCAGGTGTGAAGTGGTTTTGATTTGCATTTTCCTTAATGGCTAATGATGTTGAGCATCTTTCTTATATGTTTATTTGCTGTTTTTGTTTCTTCTTTTGTGAAATGTGTTCAAATCTTTTGCCCATTTAAAAACAGGGTTGTTTTCTTACTGAGTTTTTAGAATTTGTAAATATTTTGAATATTTACATGCAGTAATTTCTTTAATAGACACAATGCTGCCAGGTTTGCAGAGCT